CCCCCCCAGCGTGCACCAGACCCGTGTCACACGCACCAGGACCCACATCATGCACCACCGCTCGTGCATCGCCAGCTCTGGGCTCACATCGCACGCATCGGACACGCATCGCGCTGCTCTGACCTGCGGTGCCTGCACCAGAGCCTCCCTTCATGCACCAGACCAGCACAGGATGCACCAGACCCACATCTGCTCATGCAACACCCAAACGTGTCTCCCGGCACCGCGGGGCGTTGCAGGAGCTGGAGCTTTTGTGCATCTGAGGTTTTATTACTTAATGCTCCAGCTCCAAAGGGCCACAGAAAATCCAGGAGCTGCCTGATGAGCCGGCTGCTCCTTTCCTCTCCTTCCCGCAAGGTCAGTGCTGCTGGGCTGTGGCACAGAAACTCACTGGTGGGCATTTGTTGGGCTTATAAAATACCGGGGCTCCCACCCTCCCTCGGCAGTGGGTGCTGTGACCTTGTGCAGGAAGGGGCAAATCCTGCTTCCCAGGGCTGCCAGGGCTCCTGGCCGGGGGTCAGGAGGGGGCAATGAGGGTGCTTGGCAGCAGGAGGGTTGGCAGGTTGTTCAAATGGGCTGTTCCAGTGGTCTGGGCTCTTCCTCTGTCCCCATCGTCTTTGGTTCGAGGTGGGGGGGTGAGGGGACACCCGCCCGCCGCTGTGCTGAGGGGAGGGGCTCCTGGGCTGGGAGCTGCATTCGCTGCCATGTTTTTGCCTGTATCTTCCAACACATCCTTCTGCTCCTGGGTCCCTAGCTGGGCTCCCCAGCAGAGCAGCTCATCTGCATCCCGACCTTCCCAGCCCTGGGTTTGGCCACAGGACCCGTGTCCCAGGTATCCTGCTCCTGCTCTTGTGACAGCTGCTGCTGCTGCAGCGTCTGTCATGGAGCTCTTCTTGCTTTCCCCTTTTCCCTTTGCCTCCACAGGCCCCAGCAAAGGACTAGCCTATTCCCTCTGGTCAGGCACCTTATTTTTGGCTAATGAGGGCCAGGAGTTGCCCCCTTCCCTGTTGTTGCAGCCAAGTCAGCTGGAAAACTGATGAGCTGCATAACCTGATCTTTTCGAATGGTCTCTGTTTTCCTGTAATCTCTGGGTGTCAACTCAGCATTTTATAACAAACGAGAATAAAAGGAGATGCTCCTGTGTTTTGTTACGTGATGCAACAACTCTTAGCAGAATTGATTTTTTTGGGGGGTGTTGCATAAACATCCTGTGCCTTTTGTCCCTGCTCTTGCCCTGAGCACTTTGCTCTGGTGTGAACTGGAGCATCTCCCTCTGTCTGGGACCCAGGTGAAGCTTTGCCTGCTTTGGGATGAGCCCAGCTCTGGTCTCTGCTGGAGCAGGGAACAGTTTCCCTACTCTTGGAGATATTACTGCTCCTTTGGAAACTCCCTGCTCCCAAAACATCCCCTGTGGCAGAAGGAGGAGCACAGACACAGGACTGGGCAGCTGGTGTTTGCCTGCAGCAGCTTGGATGTTGCCCATGGCACTGACCCTCTCCTTTGCTGGACTTGGCCCCAGGTCCTGCTCCTTCCCACCACCACCACCACCCAACTGCATCGCAGTCCCTTTGCAAACAAACTGATCCTGGTGTTGCTGCTGTTTCAGGGATGGTCCCACATCAGGCTGCTGGTTGTTCACCATGTTCAGCACTTAGAGTGAAGAAAAAGCAGGGCCTGTGTCAGAAAGGCAGGGAGGTCTCCTTGGGAGCCTTTTTGTTCCCTAGAAAAATGAAGCTGTGATTTCCCTCCCCTTGTTGCTCTCTGCTTTTAACCTTGTTAATATTGGAAGGATGAAAATCTCCTGGCCTGGTGGGGAGGGACCCACTGGGATGGCACTGGTTCTTCTCCTGAGGATTCTGTGGAATCTGTAAAGCTGCTCATAGACACTTGGGCTTGGTGCCACCACTGCAAAATGTTCCTAATGCCGGATGTGTCAAGGCAAACAAGGGAATCCAGCAGTGGGCAGGGTGATGGGAAAACGACAAAAGAAGCAGTGAGCGAGAAATCCGGGGAAGCGCAGCGGCCGGGGCGGCTCTGTGCCCAGGGCTGGGGCTGCCAGGCAGCCCTGCCTGCTCTCCCACCTCCCCTGCCTGTTCCCTGCAGGAGTGGGACAAGCTGGTGGGGCCACTCAGGCCCCACAGTATCACCCACCCCGGGGGGTGGCAGCGTGGGGGGCTCTGCCCTTGGGGATGTGCTGAGGCTGAACAACCTGTGCCAGTGGGGAAGGGCACAGGCTGTGCCTGGGGGTGCCAGGTGCCCTCACCAGCCTGAGCCCTGCTGGGAGCTGCTGGCCACAGCAGGCACTGAGAGTGCTCAGAGAGCAGCTACACTGCAGTGTGCTGGTCAGGGGGGTCTCCAGAGGTGAGAGCCTCATGTGCCCATCCCACCCTGCTGGGGTTTCAGCTTTTTGTGCAGTAGCTCCAGCTCTCTCCTTACCAAGGGCCAGTGCCTGTATTAAGTGTGGATGCCCCAGGCTGGTTCTGCTGCACAGAATAAGCACTGGTTTGTGCTGTTGTTTTTTTTCCAAGGGCTGCCTTTCTGTTCCATTATGGGCTGGGAGGTTTGCAGGGAGTTTTGCAAACTCTGCTCTGGCTCTAGGAGAGAGTCTTAGACTTTGTAGCAGACAGTGTTGATCCTGCCTGTCCCCAGGCTGTGTTTTGGTGTGGTTATGGAGAGGGTAACAGTGCAGGGATGAATCCCTTGGCTGCAGAGATCAGGGTTTGCAGTTTGTATCGCTGGGCTCAGTGCCTGTTTCTGAGGCTGAGTTCCTGCTGCTCAGGGTCTCTCTGGAGCCTAGGCCAAGGACATGTCCCCTCTCCTGGGGCACAACCTGTCTTCATCAGGATCAGCCCACAAGGAAGGGATTCTTCCATGTTTCTTCTCCGTCCTGCAAGATGTTCCCTGTGTTCTTTGTTCTACAAAGATGAAAATGAGGTGCAGGAAATCCCTGCCTTGCACTGTCTCAGCTGGCACATGAGGCCTGGCTTCATCTCATCCACCTTTTGCCTGACTTGGGGCTTGCAGACTGGGGATCACTGGCCATGGCACCTCATCCTCCAGCCCAGGTTTCCTCTCCTTCTGCTGAGGCTCCTGATGTTAATATTTGGGGGTTTTCTTCCCTTACTGAGCAGGAGCTGCCTTCCCACGTGGGCCTGGCCATGGGCAGCTCTGCTGGCCCCATCCCTGATGCTGCTGACCTGGAGCAGTGACCTCTCCTGCTGCCTGGCTTGGCTTGCTTCCCATCCCCATGTTTCAATGGGATTTCTTCTTTTCTGCTTGCCCTTGCAGCTTTGCTCTGACTCCAGCCCCAAGCCCCATCTATTAGATGGTTTGTAGATATTATTGGTGAGATAATCTTGCCTTTCCTCTTGCTTTGGTGCTGTGGCTCCTTCTGCACGGTAGCTGCTCATTGCTGGTTTGTGCCATGGTGGTAATTCTGAGTGGAAAGAGGTGACTCCCTCTGCCTGTGCCTGCAAACCAGCCACGAACCATGCGGGAAGGTGTGTTTCCAGCTTTAGTGCTGAGTCTGCCTGACCTGCCTGTCCTTGGCAGCCTGTGGGCATGGTGAGGCTTTTGGGGAGACTGAAGTAGCCTCGTGGGAATAAAGACAGTGATAATTTATTACTGGTGATTAAACTCAACCCACCCTGAGGCAGCCTGACTGCCCAGCTGAGAGGGAGTGGGCAGGAGGGTGCAGGATGGTTCTCCCATGTCCATGGGATTTCGGTGCCCACTGGCAGCCCCTGACCAGGCTCCCTGAGGCAGCAGCACGAGGCTGCTCTGGGCCCTGTGAGAGGCACTGAGCCTTGGTGTGAGTGCCAGGCCAGTCTGCAGCAGCAGCAGGAGGAGGAGGAAGAGCTGAGCTGGCCGGGCGTGAGGCCGAATCCCCCTTCCCCGCAGAGCCCGGGGCTGCTGGTGCATCCGGCTGCAGATGCTGGGGCAGGTGCCGGGGCTGCAGCGCGGGGGGTTGCAGGAGCCCCCGTGGTGTTACCGGCTCTTCTGTGGTGTTGGTGCTTGCCTGGTTCAGGTGGTAACGGAGCCGTTCGGCGTGTGGACCGGGACGAGCAGGAGGCAGCGGCGCTGCGGTGCCCGGGGGCTTGAGGCTGTGAGAGAGCAAAGGGTTAACCCCCCGCGGCCGCAGATCTCCCGGAACAGACCTTGCCGGGGAGCACCCCCCGGGAGCACCCTGCGG